TCCACGTCCGCGCAGTCCGCCCGCACAGCCTCACGGGCCCAGCTCCAAGTCCTCCAGCTCCTCCTCCAGCGCCCTCCGCCTGGCCAGCTTCCCCAGCTGCTCCCGGCTGGGCTGGCTGATCTCCCCGGCCTGGACCCGCTGCTGCAGCTCCTCCACCTGCCGGAGCTTCTTCTTCAGGCTCTTTATCTTCTTGGCCTTTTCCGTGGTAGCAGCTGAATCGGGGGGGTCAGAGGCAGCTGTGGGGGCTGCCTGGGAGCCCTGTGGCGCGCTGGGGAGCTGGGCCGCCTCGCCTGGGGCCACCTTATCTAGAGTCCGGCCCGCGGCCTCCGCCTCCCCTTTCTCTTGCAGCTGCCGCCTCTTCTCCTTCCGCTTCAGGTTGCGCTTGGCGGTCTTGGACAGCCCCGGCTCGCCCCCATCGGGCCTGGACGCGGCGGCGGGCGCAGTGGCCTCGGGGCTCAGTCCTGGGGGAAGTTCGGGTTTGCTCTTGAAAAACTTCACATACTTGTTCTCATACCTGCAGGGAACACACACTCGAGTCACTGGCTTCCTCTGCCCGTTTCACGCCCTCCCATCTTCTCTCTCCTGCTCCGCCGCCTTCTCTGTGGGTGTCCCCCACCTGCCTCTGCTCTGCGGCTTGTAGAAGGTCCCTACGGCCCAGAGCTCTAGGTCTTGGGAGGCTATGCGGAGGCTCCGATGAACAGAGGCCACAGGAACCGGACTAGTCCCCGGTAACCCTGGCTCATCCTGGCATCCCAGTCCCCTCCTTCCATCTCCTGGGGTCCTGGAATCAGAAAATTCTTCCCTGAACTCACAGGCACACGTGTGTTCTTAATGTGGGGACCCCGCCAGCTACCCGCCCTCGGGCCCCGCCACGCACACTGGGACCTCCTCCTGGGGCACGTAGCCTTCCTTCACCCTGCGCTGCTTCCGCCACGTCCCGTCGGGCCGCTGTGTTGAGGCGATGTACTTGCCTGCAATGAGAGTTAGACCGGAGTGACTCTCTGGCCTCCTGGGAAAACTGCATGACCGCAGCTATGGGTGCCATAGCTGCCTCGCCTTTGCTCATACAACCCTCAGCCCAGCTCTGGTCAGTATTTACCAGCCCTGCCCTGGGGGAGTCTCCATTTTTATTATCTAGTTGGTAAGACAGGAAGAGAACAGAATTTTTAAAAAACATGCACCGGCAGCAAGGGGTTATAGTGCAGCACTATGAAGCTACGGGCTGTCGCTGCAGCACGAGTTGGATCCCCGGCCAGGGAGGGACCCCCAGGGCACAGCAGGCCTCTCCCGTCTCCCGGTGCCCCGCCCGCAGCAGTGGAGTTGAGTAGATCCACCTGTTCTGTTCACTACTGTCTTTGGGGAGTCCTCTCACCTCCCCCACCTCTGGCCTGTGCCCCAGTTCTTGTGTGCATAAATAAATATTTTTTTAAAAAACATGCATGGGGACACCAACAGGCAGTAGATGAATTTAAGAGTAAAGGGGCAAAAACAAAAACCACAGGACGCAGAAATGAGCAGAGAAGCTAAGTCCTACGCAGATCATGAAAAGCGGGCTGATGCTCAGCAAACCATACCACTGATACTGAAGCTCCAGCACACAAGAGATATGTGAACATGTTTGCTGCTACATTGCTGAAATTGGCAAATGCTGACAGCAAGAGGGCCTTCGTGCATGACTGATTAAACAGATCAGGAACGTCCACCCACATGATAGAGCACCAGCTCTGTGCTATGGAAAAGAATGGCGGGTCGGACACACTGACCTTCAGTGACCTTCATAATACACTGGGTGAAAAAAGCTGTGAGGTAACTTTTTGGGGATTTGGGAACAGAAAATCCTCAAATCTTTTTTGTTTTAAAATCTTCTTTCCACTCTTACTTTGGTATCTTATGCATTTCACTATGCAATTAAAAAAAAATCATTCATTAATCTCATCAGAAAAAAATATTCACTGGAAAACTATTAAGTTTTTGGTGGCAGATGCAAGTTTCCCAAAATTCTGATTTTTTTTTCACTTAAAAAGGTTTGAATGTTATCAGACAACACTGTCCACTGTTTTTCTTTGAAGCCATGAAGGGGTTGCTCCCCTCACTTTCAGGAAAATGCTTATCTGATGCCACACGTGAACTACCATCGTCTGTCGTGGTTCTCTCAAATGAAAATGGATTTCCATGAAGAGGAGGTTTACTGCGCGCCACACCGTGTTTTCCCGAGACACCATCTTACTTGGCTGTGAGCGGTGTTTGTGCTTAGTCCCCACTCAGTCCACAGAGAACATGAACAACGATGTGTGACTTTCAGACAGAAGAACAGTTGTGGGATCTAAGTGTACAGCATGGGGCAACAGGTGACAATACTCTACTGCGCTGAGGGCTAGAGCTGGAATGTTCTCACCCGAACAGTTAGAGGATGATGAAATGATAAAGGCTTTGTTAGCTAACCTCTCTGTGGTAAACACTGTGTAATGCGCATGTGTACCGAATCACCACATTGTACCCCTTAAACATACACAACCCGCCCGCTGCTCCCCTCAGCAGTGGACTCCATCAGTCGGCCTGTCCTGCTCCCCACTCTGTCTCTGGGGAAGCCTCTCACCCCTCCGCACCTCTGGCCTGTACCCCAGTTCTGTATGAATAAATAAACAAATCTTAAAAAAAAATACACGTTACATGTCAAGCTAGGGAAGGTGTGTATTCAGAGCGGGGGTCAGTAAGTCAGCAGTCAGCAGTACATTCTAGGTGAGCTGGCGTGATGCCCTGCCAGCACACGGCAGTGAGGACCGGGCGGCCCGACAGTGGGTGCCACCACCGTGACACAGCTAAGCGCTGGCTTTGGCACTGTCAGTGTAAGCGGCAACCCAGCGAAACAGGCAAATAACATCTTAGCGTATTAGAAAAGCAATTATGTCTGCAGACTTCATAAGAGCCGGGGAGCCCCCCAGGGACCCCATGAGCCGCTCGGGTAAGGCGCACGCCCGCTGTCTCGCTGGGCACGGGGCACGCTCGGGCTGCAGACAGGCTTCCCTGCTCCCTGAAGCCAGGACACTCCAGATGGTGGGGGGCTTTCTGAGCCTGGGAATGCTACTCTCTTCTCATTAATTTATAGGGAACAAAATTAGAGTATTTGCAGATACCAAAATTAAACGACCACGTCACACCAAATGGCAGCGGCTCCTCGGAAAAGGGAGAAGTCGGCAGTCTGTGCGAGCAAAGGAAAGGTGTGGGAAGCCACGTTCTGAGACTTCAGTGCCAGTTACCTCTGGGGGATCATCCTGCACTGAGGTATCCAGAGAAGGGGTCGCGGGGCCCACATTGGGGGAGCAGAGTGGACTACAGTGTTGGGCCGGGGGTACTTTCATGTGGGTATGCTATGGGCACAACACCCGAATCCAATAATTGTACTTATTTTTCTTAAAGGTTTATTTTATATACTTATGCATACAGAGTTGGGGAACAGGCCGGAGGTGCAGGGGGTGAGGGGACTCCGCAGAGACATAATGAGTACACTGCTGAGGGGAGCAGCGGGGCGACGGGGCAGGTCTGCTGCGCCCTGTGGTCACGCCAGGCGGCAGTGAGTCCAGCACTAAGCTATCGGCCATTTCGACTCTCGTCTCCCCGCTGCCCCCTCGGCAGTGGGTCTCAGTGGATCCACCTGTTCTGCTCCCCGCTCTGTCTCTGGGGAGTCTTCTCATGCCCTGCCCATCGCAGTTCTTTTATGCATACGTAAGTAAAATAAATCTTAAAAAAAAATTACCGGGATATGAAAAGACCTAATCTTCTCTCGGTTGGGATTTGAGCCTCACACGGAGCGCACGGAAGGCCAACGAGGAGCACAGATGATCTGCGCAGAGCAGTGCTTTGTGGAAATTAACCTGCAAACACGCGCCACAAACTAAAGCCGAAATGGGACAGCAGTAGCTACCACATGAGGAGACCCGGTCTGGTTGGTCTCTTTGGGCCTCTTTGGAAAATGAAAGAGAAATTCATTATGAAGAATAAGTTAACAGGTTCTTAAGGCTACTAAAAGTTGAATTATAAAGGGAAGACTTGAAACAGTGAAGTTCACCTGATGTTTTTCAGGTGTCCTCTAACTTGTCACAAGACACCTGTCAATAGGAGAACTATGGTAGTAGCAGTTACTAACACATGGGTTTCCAGTGTTTATTGAACGCTGGCTGCTATGCCAGGCACTGAAACAGAAGACAGGGATACAACAATGAATAAAACACACAAGAGTCTTGCCTCTTGTAGCAGGCATTCCTCTAATAAATATAATAAATAAGGATACAAATAAACAAAACTAACTACAATATCACCCTTGACTCTAGAGAGAAACCACTGATAGAAGAAAAATGTCCAGAGGAAGACAACTTTATGAAAATAACTCATTCTAGACAGCCAGGGCTTCACGTGGAATCAAGGAGAAAGGGAGGACTGTGTAGATTACAGCTGAAGGTTTAAGACTATTAAAGACAAATGTGAGAAAAGAAAAGGCAGGGCTTCCTGAACAACCGCCCTAATGGAACCCCTAAAAGACACATCTAAGATAAATCCCAGAAAAGTACCTTTTTTGTGCCGTCGTGAATGCAGGTTATAAACTAAGTGCAATAAACATTTATTGAAAGTCTCTATGAAAAAAGTACTACACTAAGTGGTCTTGCTGGAGGCCTAGGGATTAAATCTCAGCATGACTGCCCAGGGAGTGACCCACAGGGCGCAGCAGACCTCTCGTCTCCCCGCTGCTCCCCTGGGCAGTGTGTTTCACCTAATCCACCCGTTCTGCTCCTCAATCTGTCTCTGGTGAATCCTCTTACCCCCTGCACCCCTGGCCTACACCCCAGTCCTTCTACCCAAAAATAAATAAAGATTACCGAGAATAAGAATGATGGTCCTTATGTTTAATGTCTGACATACTGGTAAGAGACTACTAGGGCCTCCCTGGTGGCCTAAGGATTAGGTCTGTGCCAGCACCTGTCTGGCCTGAGTTTGATCCCCTGAGGTGAGGGGTGCGGGATCCCCCCCCAAAGGTGACTCGCTCCTCAAACCAGTTGTGACTGCCCCGCAGAGAGGACCCGACAGCACAGAGTACCGTGAGGAGACACGTCAGAGGCGAGTCTAGGCCTAGATTTCGGGGTTCAAACCCCGGTCTTCTCTCACACGAGCTTGTGACCTAAGGCATTATTTCTCTTTACCCAGCTTATTCCTCGTCTGCTAAATGGGGGTGAGAAGACCTGCATCACGGATGTTATAACTGAGATGAGGTGCTATAACTGACATGCCCCCGAAAGGGCCCCCCTGGTGGCCTAGGAGTTATCTCAGGGCTACGGCCTGAGTTCCATCCTGGCCAGGGAGGTGACCCACATATGGTGCAGCACAACGCTCCTGTCTCGCCCACTGCTCCCCTCAGCAGTGTATCTCAGCAAATCTACCTGCTCTCCTCTCCACTATCTCTGGCGAGTCCTCTTCCCTAACACCTCTGGCCTACGCCCCAGTTCTTCTATGAAAAAAAGAGAGAGAGAGAGAGACTTTAAGAGAATAAATAAGGACGCCTTGTTTGAAGAGGGATGTTAATAGGAATCTCAGGGTCTTGACCTTAACGACTAAGTAGTAGTAATAGCAAGTCAGGCACTGACACTTCTACACGCAAGTACAGTTCACAAAGAATAATAACATAGTCAGAATAGTAGAAAACTGACAGAATGTGAAGAATGGTTAGGCAAGAACATTTATTTATTACTCTATAGGAACATTAAAGCAGAAACTTTGTGCAACTACCTCATTGAGATTAGGCAACAGGTAAGTGTCCCAGGTAGGTGTGCTATCCAGCTAAGGAACCAGCTTTAGGTACCACAAAAGCAGCATGTGCACTCTGGACTCGGTCTTTGCTCATCTGCCCCCCCCCGACCCCCTTCTATCTGCATAGCCCAGCTTCACTGAGGGACACAGGCAGACACAGTGATGATGCTCTGTGGAAAGTGCTTTGTGTTCACCTTCGACCGTACCCTGAAAGTCAGAGTGAACGGTATAGAAATTTGATCGTCCATGTGCAAAATTGCTCCTTCACCGAGCCCTCGTTTTGTACCAAGGACAGCGCTCAGCGTTGCTACAGTCTTTCCTTTCACAACTCCATGAATGATTATTCCAGTTTTACAGGTGAAAAATTGAGTAACTCGCCCTAAGTTATGAGGTCAGTAAACAGAATTTGAACTTGGGCTGTGGGTTCCAAAGGCTGCTTTTTGCATTACTATTGTTAGAAATGAAAAAACAAGTTGAACCTCACTATAAAAATCAAAGGAAATAGGGCTCTCCCTGGCAGTGCCACGGGTTAAAACACAGCACTAGGAAACCAGACACAGCTGCTTCAGCATGCGCTCAATCCCCAGCCAGGGAGCTGACCCACACTGTTCGGCAAACCCCTCCTGACCCGCCCGCTGCTCCCCTCAGCAGTGGACTTCGCCGATCTGCCTGCCCCACTCCCCATTCTGTCTCTGGTGATTCTTCTCACCGTCCCTGAGCCTCTGGCCTGTGTGCATAAATAAATGAATCTTAAGGAAATATAAGTTAAAACAAAATGTTATTTTCATCTAGCAAAGCAGAATTTTTTTTGCCATGTCAGTGCATATTTTATTATACTTAAAAAAAATAATATAATAGTTGCAAATCAGAATTTTTAAAGATGAGAACCTCAATGTGGTCAAAAGTGGTAAAACCAACTTTTGTAGAAAATAGCTGGATTAACAAAGCAAGAGAATATAAGGGAGTTCTATTTTTAGCAGCACTTCCCAAAATGTTTGCTATATAAAAATATGACTACTTTCCTACTATTCAAACAAGGTTATACATATATATATACACACACACACGTATATTATATATACATATATATATATATATATAAAAGTTAGCGAAAATCTGAGTTAAAGAAAAAAATGTTTGTGTTTATTGGCAAGACTTAAAGGAGTTAATTTGCCCTTATTCATGTGAACGGCCAAGAGCAGGCTATGGCTCACAATGTTGCCCACACTGTCATGTGAGCACAGGAATCTTATTGTAAGTATTTACTTGTAGCACATCCCACAGAATAAAGTGTTCTGAGAAAGGAGAATATTTTGAGAAATACAGGTATGGTCCCAAATATTTTAAATACAGATATGTTTTATGTACATAGGCCAAAAGTAAATGTAACCTTGAATTCTAGAATTCTAAATATGTGACATATATTTTACTACTAATGAAAATATTTCCAAAATTTCAACGTGAATTACTTTTATAATTGATAAAATAAATAAATGTTTGTACCCTCCCACTCAGCTATATTATCTCTAGGAAATCTATCTGAAGAAAATAACCTTAAATGGCGGCAAAAAAAATATTTACAAAGTTCTTATAATTAGAATTCTGGATATAATTAAAAAGTCTAGTAAGAGGGGCCTCCTGTTGGTGTAAGGGGCTAAATAAAGCACAGCACTACGAAGCTCTCAGCAGCCACTGCAGCACAAGACTGACCCCAGGCCAGGGAGGTGACCCACATGGCATGGCAGACCTCTCCGTCCCACGCCCTGCTCCCCTCGGCGTGTACTTTGGTTAATCCGCCTACTCTTCCTCACTGTCTCTGGTGAATTCTCTCACCACTGCACCGACCCCCCCTCCCACCGCTGGCCTGTACCCCAGTTATTGAATGCATAAAAAAAAATAAACCTTAAAAAAAAAGTCCAGTAAGAGAAGAAAGGTAAGACAGGGTGAATGCCCAGACAATAAAACACTCTGCCAGGAATTTAAGAAGATGTTCGCAAAGAGCTTTTAATAGTATGGAAAAGTTATGTCATAAGGTTAAATGAAAAGCCGAGATATAAATATTTATACACCAAAACTGTCTTGGTTAAATGCACAGGAAAAAAAATCAATTATCAGAAGGATAAACACTAAATTGAACAGTGGACTCTGGGTGGATAAATTGCACGAAGAAAAACTGCAAAACTAAATTTGGACTTTAGGACCAGTAATCTCGTAACAGTGAACAGAGAGACCATTTCGGAGGTTGCAACAATATTGAATAAGGAAAACTAGAATTTTACCAGACACTTTGAATTGTCAACACAAGAAAAAGACAGGTGCTAGGGAAAAAAGACTACGCAGAGTTAAAGAAACAAGTAGTGAGGAAGTGGAAACAGTAGGTGTAGAGCTAATAGTCAAGAAATCGGGCTGTGAACAGAAAGGAAACAAATGTTAGGCCTCGGCTCCCTCAATGAACTAGAAAGTGAGTTCATCTGCCACAAGAGGGAGAAATGAAAACAGAATGTCACAGAGAGCTGAAAAAGGCTGGGAAATAGCCATGGCAGACGGCAAGCAGCCAAGATAAAGGGACTGGAGCTAGGAACCTGGAAGAAGTTCACCTCAAGGCACAGTCTACGGAATGTGCCAGCTTCTGTGCCTTTTCTCTAACCATTTGCTGTGGCCCAGAAGTAGAAGCCAAGAAAAAAGTTGCTGGGTATGATTCAAGATAACACTGCTGTTTGCTTAAAGAGAATGTCAAAATGAATGAAGCACACCGGGAAGATAAGACTGAGTGGCTGGACACAGGTCTAGCAGGGCAGCGTGGAGTAGTCGTGGCGGGAAGATCAACAACCAAAGAACCTGAAGGGGGCAAAAAGCTGTTTGATGACGGGAGCTCAGGTAAGTGGTGGGGACCACCTGAACAATGGGGAGCGGTGTCATAGATGAGGTCCACCGTGTAGATTCGGATGTATTGCTGGTCTGAAACTACACAAGAAAGTGGTCTCCTATTAAGGAGAACTGCACATGCGCTAGGGACACCAAGAATGTCAAAGTGGAGAAAAAATGCATGATAAGTCTAGATCCGTGTGGGCAGCAGATGGCGGCGCTGGAGTCAGAGAAAACGCCACAATGACAGGGTGACACTTTATAGGAGGATTAGAGTAACCGGTAGATTAATAACCTTATGTAGTAAGGGAAAGCAAGAAAAAAGAAATCAGTGATTCCTTCTCTTCCACAGTCACAAGGAACAGAAGATATCTCTTGATGAGAGGGAAGGGTGATATGTGAGGGCTGGATTTTCATTAAAATAGTTTAAAGAAAACAGTTAAAAAACAAGTGTGTGACATTTTCTAAACATGTATTAAAAGGAGTTCGTGGAAAGACCTATCGAGAAGAAAGCGGGAGGGAGGTTGCACCACTCTGAAAGTCAGGCTGGGGAGAAGACCTGGGCTGTCATTAGTACAGTAACAAAAGTGACATGTTAAGCAGCAAAGCAAGACGCACAAATGGCATTTTAAAACGACTGTCTGCAACGCGGCCCACACAGTTATCACTTCTACACAAAACTACACATGCATGATGAGGGCTACAAAAAATGAGCATCTCACAACACATTTTCATATACACTATCTTACTTGATTGTCTCCAGGTAGATACTACTATGCACATTTTCCTGAGGATATTAGGATGGGACAAAATCACAACGGAAATCTTGAATTCTCCATTTTCAACACATACATCTCACATGCACAACACACTGCAAAGTCTCAATCAGCCAGGCTGGAAATTCCTCCTCAGCCAGAACAGTGGATTCTGTCAACTTGTCAGAGGGCTTGAGAGGCCACTACACACCTCCCTGTTTGCCGTCTTCCACCATATGCCCCTCAACTCCTCCAGCATCATCACCAGAGAAGGTAGGTAAGTGTAGCATCATGAAGGAAACTCAGGATGAAAGTTCTATTAGATTCCGCTTTCTTCACACCTCTGGATCCCAATAACCCGACAGTGGAGATGAAGGCGTGAAAAGGGCACTAGGTAGCAACGAGGAGGTCTTCAACACATCATAGTTTGGAGGAAAAGAATTAAAATATGGGGGAGGGGCAATGGGGGAAATGATAGAATTGGAGGGAACTGAGAGTGTGGGAGACCCCAAGGATGAAGAACACAAAGGAGATACAGGCGCTCCCATCGCTGGAGAAAAGCTGAAGGGGCCGAGAGGGTCCTGGAGCAGGGGCCAAGATTGAAGGACCCCAGGGTTTGGGTGACCGGAAGCAGAGACCCCCAAACACGAGACCAGAAGAGGGCGCAGGTGACACCCGGTAGGAGAGAATGAATGGAGAAGGCGGTCCGGAGGGCGGGGCAAAGGAGGGGCCCCGGGATGGGCGGGGCACAGACCCCTTTCCAAGTCCGAACCCCTGCCCCGAGAGCCCGGGGAGAAGCGGCTCCGCGCCTCCCGCACTCACCGCCGGTCTCGTCAGTTACATAGGGAGTCGCCATCTTGAAAACGCAAACCACTTCCGGCGTGAGCGGGCTGGGGTCCCGCCCCCTCCTCACCGGAAGTGGAGTCCTGCTCGTAGCAGCCACCATTTTAGCCTTAAAGGGAGAGTACACCATTTCGTGGACGGAGGCGGAGGCGGGAGCGGGCCGCGGGAGTCGAAGACTAATCGCGTCAGCGCTGTGGGCTCATGTGCCGCCCCGGCTCCACTATCGGACGCCTGCTGGTGTCAGCGGTCCTCTGGGCGCTGAGAGACGTTCCGAGGCACAGCCTCGCGGGCACTCTTCGTCCGTCCAGGACCTGCGAGGGAAACGGGGGCCAGGCCCCCCGGCAGCCGGAAAGTGGGGGGCGGGTGAGGGCAGTACGGACTGCCGGGCCCTGGCTCGCGCCCAAGCCCCGCCGGGCTGGGGCGGGTGGGGCGCG